TGTTAGCCCAATTGCCCAGACTAAATCAAGGCCGATTTGACGGTCACAACCTCATTACTTAATATAATTTTAATATTTTTCTACAAATCAAAATCATATGAAATTTTAAGCGTCCATGATTCTTATCAAGGCGCACCGAATAAAAATATTAAAAAAAATAATTCGCAAAAATAAAGTCACCAAAATACCCCTGAAACGTTTCAGGGGTATTTTGGTCAATTTATTTTTTGACCAATTATATTTTTGATATTTTCATTAGATGTTCCTATGTTTAAAGAATAGACGATCAAAATTTCAAGTGATTTGGATTTGTATAAAAAAAAACTCAAATTCAAATACGAAATGGAATCATGACCATTGGACAGCCTAGATTCAATCTGGGCCATTGGGTTTACACTATAGCTTTTAGCTAGTGGGCTAACAAGATTTTTTCATTATATATATGGGTTATTCGAGGATGCATTATAAATGGTAAACTTGAAATTTCCAACTCCAAAATTTTGAGAATAAAAGGCCCTCACAAATATTTAAAGGGCAATGATTTCATGGAACCGTTGTATAGTAATACGTTGTAATAACCTTAAAAAAACCATCTTATGGCGATTTGTTTGATCCAAATTTTGAAATATACACTCTTTTCATTCTAATGAACAATCACAAAAAAAGAAAAAATTGAAAAAACAACCTAGAAAGTATTTTTTTAGCCCAATTAACATAGGCCGTTCATTTTAGTGAGATGCTTAGATCTAGGATTTAGAAGGATTTCTTCATTTCCAATTTTGTTGGATGGCTTCATTATCATTAGATGAACAATGTTAAAAAATAAAAAAATGATTTTGAGTTTATAAAGGCTAAGATCTTGAAATTCACAAAATGAATGGTCTAGATTCGTTTTGGAGGGGACTCATTTTAACCATATCTAGGGTTCAAATTGAACTTTTTTTTGAGGGGGATTGATTACTGAGATGAAGAGAGTGTGTGTGCAAGTTTGAGGTCATACAAATACCACAAATATGGTTTTCTAGAAGTGTCGTTGCATTATACCATAGTACAACCGCTGCATTGAATCATTGCGCAAATTTAAAATACATGATTGAAAATTTCAAAAACTATTTCAAAAAGAAAATAAAAAAAAAAACAAGAATGGTGTATTTGTAATTTTAAGTTCCTTTTAAAGTCCAAACATTACTCAAAAAGTCAAACGAATCTTTTTAAACTTGGAATTTGAATTTTGCTGGGATTTTGAAAAGACGACAATACCCTTCCTAAAATGAAAAAACTATTAATGGTCAAACATCATTTTTTAACATATAGCGGTATCTTATAGCAAAAAGCTTTAACAGTAGGGAATTCTAAGCTCACCATTATTTATGATGGATTCTAGAATAACCCTATATACATATATACATATAAATGTGCCTGTGTATACATATATGGAAAAAGTTTATATAAGGTTGCAACCTTAAAATGTAAAATTACATATGCACTTCAAATATCCATCGGAAAAGGTTGTTTTAATGTTGAAAAACTCTCTAATTGATCATCTCGACATCGAGAAATATGAATATGAAAAAAAAAAAAAGTTTGAGTCCCTAAAATAGTGCATCTTGCAACAGATGATCTAGACCGTCTATTTTCAAGACTTTCATATGTTTATAGATCTACCTGATTTTAATCATTTTTTGGAGTTCAAAACTTTATAATTAGATATGAAAATAGATATTAAGATTATCTTAATAATTTTTTACACCAAAATTACATGTTGTGATAAAATGTAGAGGTGCACCTTAATTGGATTGTTTAAGGTTGCAACCTTATAGAAACCACACCTTTATATATCGAAACTAGAGAGGAAGTTTTCAAGATCAACCATGCTTTATGTGACAGAACATTGGTTAATCAAGAAAACAACATATCGAAAGGATGAGTGTCGTTGAGATGAAGATGTTGAGATGGATGAGTGGCAAGACAAGAAAGGAAAGATTTCGGAATATATACATATAAATATACTAAGGGGGTGGCTCCAATAGGCGATAAGAGGAGGGACAGTAGACTTAGGTGTGCTGGGCATCTGAACCTAATACAGCACCAGTTAGGAAAGGCGATTCAGTTCAAGTGGGAGGCTCTAAAAGGGCAAAAGACATGAATGAAAATAGTGACAAGAGATACAGTCTAGCTGATGATATGGACCATGATAGAACCGAATAGTGGAACACGATTCGTATAGCCGGTCCCCAATAGATGGAACAATGATATATATCTATATATATATATATATATATATATATATATATATATATACACACACACACAACAAGTAAGTAGTATTTATATATATACACACACACACATATACATGAAAGAGTATTTCGTTAATCAGACGACTAACTAATTGTTGTGCGGGCCCCCTCCAAAATCTCTCTCAAAGATGGATTTTCGATCCAAAATTTTAGGGTTCACTAATCTCAACCATGATGATGATCATGAATCTGGAATTTTGTTTGAAATATATAAATAGGTTTGTTTTTTTAATTTCTTTGTCCACCATCAATTTTAAATTTTAGTGGATGCACCATTTTTTAATGTCCATCTTAGATATGTACATTTGATGCATGAGGGACAGCACAACAGTAGGCGAGTCGGCCGACTCACTAAAGCTGACTCCTATCCAAGAAAATTTGGTACCCTAGTAACTCAATTATGCTTCAACATGATAACACTGTGACATATAAAAGTGAATGATGTACCTCACGAACAATCTCCATTGTATCTTCAATTTCTTTCCTATGTGCTGATATTAAAGCTTCTTCTTCCTACAAAAACAACAGATGACTTTGAGATTAGCACCCTGATGCACAGACAATATGATGATACCACAACTAACTAGGCATTGCATTTCAGTAATAACATTTCCAAATGTTAACAAATGAACAATATGTTTCACAGGGAAACCAAAGTCATTCTAGGGCATGTAGGACCTGAATATCCATACCTCCAGTATTGCATTGATTTCCCCATCATGTGGCTGGGTTTCACTTTCATATTGTCTTGATACATAGTTTGAATTTGTATCAGATTGCTGCTGCTGTTGCTGTTTATAGCCCATGGTGGGCAAGTCAGAGCGGCCCTCTTTTCTTGGCCAGTTGCTTTGTTTTTCAGCCTTTTCATCCCTATTTACTTTCCGACGAGTAGGAGAAACCTTCTGAACTTTCTCTTCCTCTATTGGGTATGACTCAAGTGCTGAGGAATATAACTTACTAGAAGTAGGACCACCATATGTCTCCGTGATGTCCGCCCTCTCCCTGTCTACAGCACTCGAGTTTAGTCCACCATCCTCACGACTACTAAAGGAATAATTTGGTGGCACACTTTGACGATTCCTATCAACATCAGCATTAGAATTATATGAAAAGCTTTCTACAGTTCGCCTGCCTATGTCCATGGGCTTTTCCTCTTGATTGTAGTCATAGTAACTATCTGGCTCAACAGCAAGTGGGATTGACGATGTTGATGACGAGTCCTTCCCAGTAGGAGGCAAAGTATTTGGGAGCTGATCTTTTCTCGGATTACCACTTTTCGAAAGACTTTTGACCCTGATAACACAAACCACCAATTTCAATCACTTAAAAAGTTAAAGAGCCATAACCTATATCCAGGAGTGGGTGATGCTCTGTACCTATCAGCATATCTCAGAGTATTGAGTGTATGCTCACAGGAACCTGCATTTGGAGAAATACATGAGATCATGACCGTTCTTGAGTTTCCAACAAAAGAGTCACGGAGCACCTCTGTAAGTTTGCTTCCACGAAAGGGGATATGTATCTGGTCATTGTCAAGTGCACGTATGCATTCTTTAAGGGCCAGAAGAGACTTGTTAATCTCTGCTCCTTCTATCCTGAGAGAAAAAAGCTTAGGAATGTAACTTTTCACTTTTTGATTGATGATCAAAAGAAGTCTTTATTTAATGAGTTAAACAAATTTGCCAGACCACAGAACGCAACTCAGTACAATTAGGAGGCCACGTTCATGCATTTTCGTAGCCCAGAAATCAGAACTAACATGGAAGCTCAACATCATCCAAGCCTACTACGCCCATTGCTAGAAAAACCATATAAAATGCTCAATGCTACCAACAAGGAATTGCCGTGCAAAAACATTTTCAAAATTCAACCATGTCGAATTTGCAAAATCCACATTTTTCCTTCAGATACAATGCAGCAATGCACAAACCTTGTCTGTCGATCATTATCTGTTGTATCAGCACCTCGTTCACTGCCAGCAAGATCAATAAAAGATATCTTCCCAATGATCTTCCCTCCCTTTAACTCACTTCCATCACGATGCTGCTTGATTGCAAGTTGCAAAATAGCATGAGATCGTGAAGATTCTTCATTCGCACCAGTAGAGCCAGTACTTCTTGCAGCATTACCCTTTTCAATATATTCTTTAACAATATGTACATCAGAGACCTCAAATTCCTGTAATCCAACAATGCAAACCTGTTGCCGACCATCTTCTCTCATGCACAGTTTTCTGGTGCACATTATTCAGTGTTAAAACAGCTATAGACATTAAAAATGCAATGCTTAAGTAAATATGAGCAAAGGCAAACAGAAAACATGTGCAGCTAAGAGAAATTCGCCAGCATTACACATGGAGAACTTCCTTCAATTTTTGGCCATCATTAAACAAAACAACATTCTTGAAGCATGCCTATAAGTATAGCACCAAACTCAGTCACTCATGAATAAATACGAGTAAAAGAAAGAACAAGATAAAACAAACAATTTTTCCATAGGTTTGTCACTTCTCAGCGGGTTCAGAACAGACATTGAATCCATCGTGAAGTATTCTTATGACACAGATCATGCAAAAGCCACAGACTGCTTATCATACGATACAATCACAAAAGTCTACTACAAATAATAAGAGGTGCCAAACTGAAAGATAGTCTCAAATGTGAATATGAGCATAAAGGTAGTCGATGCTAGGGTGGAATTGTTCGAAAAGAGTTACTGGCATTTGTTTCTGACACTACTAATAAAATAATTGCAGAGCACCAATTGCACAGATCAGCATTATATTGGCACCATAAAATTTTCTGAAGTTTCTCCAAGATGGAAAAGGTCCAGAAGGAAGTGTTTGGTCATAATCATGTGGTAGTGGTACCCAGAACTGTATGGAGGCGCACTTCAAGGCAAATTAAAGTAGTACCCTCAGAGGAAGAGCCCCCAGACCAAGAGAGAACTGACTTAGATCAAGAAGGGCAAACTAAGAACTACAAATCAATCTAAAAATCTAAAAACCAGTTTTTTTACAGAACTACCATTGTTGTAATAAAAAATACCACACACCCAGTAACTATGTATCCTGGGCTATAGTGATCCATTCAACAACAAAAAAACAGAAATAACAAAAAGAGAAGAACACCATTACAGTTCTGCTGCTGTGATATTAAAATATACTTCCATTTTTCAAAACAGACTCCAACAACTCTAGCAATCACCAGGATGGTATCATGATTCTCATTCCACCAACAGCGACAGCCTAAATGTTGACATTGATTCCTATTAGCTCACCATCCTTCAAACTTCTGTATTTGCTCAAAGTCTTGAACCCCAACCAGAACATTGCACATAGCACATCCCCAACATTCTATTCCTTTCTGGCATTAGCCTTCTAAAACCATGCAGCTTTGAAGATGGTCCTCCCACGCCCCTCAAACCCCACCCCCATTCTCGAGCCCATTCTCAAGGCTTTCCCACACCATCAAGCTTAGCATTAATTTGAACTAGGGTTTTTTCAAAAACAGATCGGTGATCCGGATTGTCAATTCGAAAAACCAGGTCGATCGGTGATTTAGATCGAAGAATCGGACAGAACGGTCAGATTCAGCATTAAAAAAATTCAAAAAATACTAAAAATCCCTAGAACTAGTGCTTTTTATGTTCCCACAAAATGGGGGCTGGTGCATTATGTACCTCCATTATTTTGCAAAAATACGTGAATATTGAAATGGCATTTCCTTGTCTGGATGTTTGTTGACCATTACATTCACATCAAAGGAAAAAGAGAGCTTACAATCATCATGGATATGAATATATGGTCCACAATGGAGCAGGCAATTATTGAAATACAAACTAATACCAAAATGAAAGACGGGGTTGTTCTTCCTCTTTATTGCACTTAAGACATTAGAATGTGACTTTGGGCCTCTTTGTTATCAGCCATATTACCAACAAAATTTAGGAAAGAAATAAATCCATTGATCACCTTGCCAAACAATGATGAATATAAGTACTTTGTAAGGGAGAAACATGAACATGCATAATCAATTCAACTCAATGAGTAACTGACATGTAGGTCGGAAAATTGATTCCATAGAGCAAGGAATCGCAATACATCTACGTAGAGATCTCGATTCCATTTTGGTCAAATCTGAATTCCTATGAAATATGAATCTCGTTTCCCACTATTCGTCTTGTACGGTGTCAATTCTCAAAACGAGAATTTTCTAGTTGGCCGTGATTCCACGATTCCGATTCCTAAAACGATTCGGATTCGGAATTGTTTTCAACAACTATAGTATAATATAGCAGTGTGGTATAGTATGGTAGTATAGTAAAGCAATATAATGTAATCTAGCAATGTGGTATAGTATAGTAGTGTATGCTATAAATATTATGTCATTGTACATAAAAAAAATTTCAAAACAATAGCATATAGTATGGTAAAAATAGTATATAGCATAGTACTGCAATATAGTAAAGCATTATATTAATGTATAGCAATGTGGTATGATATAGTAGTATATACCACGCTACTATATAATTAAGTGCTCTCTGAGCCTCAATTTTTAAACAGATAGAGCATGGTCCTGTATAATGTATCACCCACTCCCAATTAAGTTGGGATCGAGCACCCCCACATATTGGGATAGAAATCCCCAAATTCAGGGTGTATGGACCTCGATCCCTACCAATGGGAGATTCCTACCTGTTATGATCCCACCCTTCCTGATCCAGGATCTAATTCGAACCTGATCCTGGTGCTATGGTTTGACCCTCAAGTAGCCCAACCATCAACAGCATAATCAACCAAGTTTAAAGTTTAAACATGACACACCTTAAACCTAGGCACCCCATTAATCAGGATAAACCACCAAAACCTCAATCATGTCATATAACAGAAGAACCCCAGAACTGCAATGTATGGAGAACAACAAGAAGCCATTTATAAATTAATCATGGAACAGGTTTCGCATTCCATAAAGCAAATACCTTGTGTCACTAACGATGGGAACATGGTCAAGTTAGACCAACCTCATGGCTGTGCCTATACAGCCTGTTAGGTATGGGATTACCGAATGCTGCAAAGGTAGTGCCAATGCCATTCATCGGAGTTGTGTGTCTAATGAACGATTCAGCCCCGGTCTGATGCAGGACTCTCACTCTAAAGTCTAATCCATCATGAAAACAATGGGTTACCACACTCTGAACCTACCACCATTACCAAGGTGTCTTGTATTTGTTGAGCATCATTCTTTTGCATGCGATATCAAACATGATGACTTAATGGAACTCAACAGGCGCAACAAAATATCAGCCTCATAGACATGATCCTCGTCAGATACTCAAGAATCTACAAACAACACTCCCCAAGTAATTTAAGGATACACGCATCCAAGTTATACAT